AGACTCGAATCCCCTAATTCCTGATCAGTTCCTTTTAGCACTAGTGTCATTTTAAGAAATTCATCTAGGTTTTCTTCTAATGACTTAGAGACATCCATTCTATAAGAAAACAGAGCACCTTTCAAGAATGCAAAATTAGGAGCAGACCTTAATGCATACAGAGTTTCGAGTTTACCCCAGAGCTCAAGCGGTGTGTCCAGGCCATCCACCTTTCGCCATACATTATCTGATAAATTCATGATTATCAGGTTGTATGCTTCTTCGTCTATCTCCGCTTTCTTTTTCACCTTTTCTTCAGACCACTTGGTTTCATCCTTTTCTAGTGCAGTTCCCACCTTATTATGGGATAACAAGGCCTTCATTTTCTTTTTCCATGTATTAAAATCTATCTTCCCATCGTATTGGGAGATCTCCATATGAGTAGTGCTCATTGTACTGTAATGATAAGGCAAGACAGTCTAAGGAGTACGTGGCGTTGTTATACCAGAAGTTGCCAAGTACTGCCAGGCAGTTTTTAAGACGATTACTGGTTTTCCAGTCGAAATACCCTTAAACAGATTCAGAACTATTCGAAACCCTAATTCGAAAAGAAAACCCCCAAATCCTAACAAAACCCTAATTTTGATTTTGCCCAATTTTTGTTGATTCCTTGTGTTTGTGACCTAATCTTGTGAATTAATCTCGAGACTCTGCAAGATTTGAAGTCCTAATGATCTAGGAACCTCTAGATCGAAAAACCCCCAAAACTGATAAACCCTAATTTTCGAATTCGTTAAGAATTAAACGATTCCTTAACCTAGATACACCTTAGAACTTTTTGCTCTGATACCACTTTTATAAATCAATACTAATTACTCAAACCACCAAATCAATCTCAAATCAAGGCAAAAAATGCAAGAACAAGAAATCACACAACACACAATCTACCGTGGTTTACTTGTTCAATATAGAACAAGTTACATCCACATTGAACTCTAGAATATGGAGCTCGCTGCACTAGGATTAATCACTTCAAAGATTACAGATTACAGACAAATCTCCTTCTCTGTCAACCAAACATTCACACACTCATTCACTTCTCTTTATCCCACAAATCTCAACCACTAGAACACTCTAAACTCTTTAAGAAACACCCTGTCCTCAAAATAAGCCTCTAGTATGATTTACACAGAGAAGAACTATAATGAATATCAAACCCTAACTCGGGTTACAAAACGTATTTACAAAGAAAACGAGAGAAAACCCTACTATGCGAACTGTTGCTTCAATGTGTGAAAAGGTTCCCCTTTTTATATTGTTGACTTGTGATTGAACTGGAGCCATCAGATTCTCTTTAATTTGATGGCTGTGATTGACTTGGACTAATAGGCAAAAACGACAACGTTTTTGCTTGGCTTAAACGACGTCGCAGGCTTCACTTATTTGACAATAACAATATATATCAGGACTCTCAATTCAAAACCAATCAAAGATGACAATTTTTTTTCTAGATCAGAGAATTTTTTATGGTTTGTAAGATGGCCAAAGTAAGCTTATATCATCTAAAAATATATTTAAGATTTTTGAATAATTAGGATTAAAATTTACTATAATAGACTATAGGATCATATACAATAAATGAAATTGGAGAAAATAAGCTCAAATAGACCTCACTTGCAGTAATCAATTCAGCATAGTTTTTCATTTTAGGAACATATTTAAGAAGATTGTAACATGTTCCTAAAACGCATAGTTCTAGCCTTGGATTCTATAATAAAATGACACTTAAGTGTATTCCATACATCAAATTAATTAAGTTTATCACCTTGCTATATGACTAAACATAGGTTTTGATATTAAAGAGAACAACCGACTACATATTGATTAATTCTCTTCTGCAAAAAAGAGTCTAAGTTGGATTGTGTTAATTATCAAAGTAGACGAGTCTTCACCCTTGATTGTTTTGAAGGAAGGAGTACAAGATCTCTCACCATTAATGAATCCCTCAAGTTGACCGAAATTGAAGGTAATGAATCTGGAAAAATAGAATTGGAGATAATTAACAAAGTTACAATTTCCGTCATGTGATATTCATGCTCAATGAAATTAAGATATAATTTATTTTCAGTTAGTACACCAGGAGTTGAGAGTTTAATATATTAAATGAACATTAAACGTAGAACTGATTATTTAAATAGGAGATTAATAATTTGTAGAGTAATAATGTGGTAGTGCAAAATATAAGAAATTAATGTCATACTTAATAACAGATTGTGAAAACCGATAATATAACATGAAATGTGAGACTAGTAACATTATATATAATGTTCATCAGCTATCTAACATTTAATGTAAAGAATTTATGTTTTAATTTGCTAGTAATTTCACATTTTATGTTATTAATTTTCATATTAATCAATATTTGTATATGCTCTTTCAAAAGATAAGAAATAAAATAACTGGGGCTTAGGCATATGGGCCAATCAATTTCCACCTGGCCCTCTAAGCCCATAATGCTTATATTTTGATGATTTAATAAGATTTATTCAACTTCCTTTCTGATTAATTTCAACAAAAATCATCTTTTTAAATTCTTTTTTTAAGTCTGGCCAAGAATTTCTTGAGCCACTCGCTGGTTAACAAAATGCTTTAAGCCGTGAGTAATTGCGGCTTGTCTTTTCGTTACTAAGATCTCTGGAACTGCAGAACGATTATTTTCAACAAAAGCAAATCGATTTCAGGAAATTTTGCGCTGACGACATCGGTGAAAGGTGGTGATGCAGTTTGTCATTTTATGCAAGAACGAGATTATCGGCGAAAAATTTGGGGATGATGTTTTTGATATTTGTGGAGTTAATCTTGTTATGAAGTCTGTTTATAGTTCGACGAACAGCGTCCCACGTCAAACGCTGATGCTTAACGTTGCCGTTTTGATCGTCTTCCACTTCCTTCGCCTTCTTCACCATAAATGGGGGGAAATAAACCCCTCCAGTACTTGTCTTTCTTTTGCTTCCCTATCATCATCTTCTTCATCTCTCTACGAAACTTGTACGATTGATGCAACGGGGACAAAATTAATTAATTAATATCCTTAATTAATTAGAATTAAATAATTATGTTTAGGTGATTAGGAAAGTAATGTGGTAATCGTCAAGAACAAAAAAGCATCAAGATTATTTGGTTTCCTTTAACAAAAGTAGAAGAGAGTACAAGAAAAAGCATCAAGATAAAGTTAACTTCTATGTTGAATCTCCATGAATTTTCTTAGTAAAGTGAAGAAGAACTTAGTAAAGTGCAGAGTTCAACTGTGTGTTCAGTCCAAGTTCTCAGGACGCTTTCTATGTACAGCTGAGTACCTCCTTTATAAGAGCTGAGGTTAAATAGGCAGCAGAATCAGGAACTAATTAAAAGCAGAAATGTCAATTCACTAATACCACTCTCTTAAACACATCACTTGACTGTCTTACTGAACATTCACTCCTCTTCTTCATCTTTTTCCTCTCCTTCTTCTTGATATTCTTCTACATCTTCTTCAGATTCTTCTACTTCTGCTTTTTCTTCTCATGCTTCTTCTTCACCTTCTTTTTAATTAGTGACAACTTCGTTAGTTTCTCAAAAAAAATTTCATCCTCCTCTGCATCTCCCTCGTTTACTTACTTCAATCATTCCTTGTTACGGATGCAAGCTGGTAATTCAAGCTGCAACAACTCTATTCTCCAGCAAAGCTGCAGCAACTCAGTTCCCTCAAGTTCATATTCAAAGTATTTGAAAGACTGTTCAACGGCTAGATTAACGGCAAAGTGTTTGTTTTTGAAAATCATCACTCTTCAACGGCTAGATTAACGGCATAAAGTACACATTCTGTTAAGCGGCGTTAACTCTTATCAGTGGAACGGTGTCGTTTCTTAATATAGGTGGTAATGGACAAAATTCAACGATTTCAGATCAGGCTACAGGGTTTCGGCCCTTTCTGCTACTGTTCTTGCTTGAAAAAGACAGATCCTACGGTCTGAAAATTGTTATTCTATGTTTGTTGTGTAAGTGTTGAATGGCCAAGATTTCTTACTTTGGTAAATCACGTGGACTATCAACTCAGATCATTTTGAAACTAGATAAACCTTTTGTAAAAACCAGTTTCGACAGTTAATGAAAAAACAGAAGTTTAGTTCTCTCTCTCTCTCAAAATTTTCTGTTGTTTCTCTGGAGAGTTTTACACGTTCTGGTTTTTCTTTATTCAGTCCTAGGATTTTCACACTCCTTGTCATCACGGCATGATGTACCTCCCACTTAATATCAATTCCTTCTAATTGGAATCAAGTTAAATTAATGTTTCGTTTAAACTGCGAGATTCTTCTAGAATCAGGAAGAAAAACAGAGAAAAATTGAAGAGGAGGAAAATATTTTCATTGATTGATTAACTGAATAATAGAATAACGCATGTGACTTCTCTTATAATTTATATAGCCGTAGATACAAAACGCTGCGTTTCTACAGGACTTTGATTTCTGGACTCTTTTACCCAGTTAAGCTTACATTTTAATCCGGCTACTTTCCAATATTGCATTTTACCCAGACTGTTCCTAAGGGTATCTTGACAGCAGCCCCCATGAAGCTGGGCTGTCCTACAGCTGCAGCTTGTTAGTAATGGCAGTTATCAGTTCACTTGTTCTTCAAAGTTTTCTCTTTAGCAAATATTTTCAGCAATTGATTTTCGGTAACTGAATTATCACAACTCAATTTCTTCGTAAGTAACACCAGTAGTTAATCAGCTTTATCACACCAGCATGCTCAGTGATAATCATCCACACTATTTAAAAAATAATGCAATAGCCAACATTCCAGCTTAGGAACTTATTTTGACAATTGAAATGTCTCTTTACCCCTATTAATAATTATCAAAATCAAAATATAAATTTTAAAAATAATTAATTACATCCACTAAACACAAAATAATAAAAATCTCATTTAGTAAAAAAATCCCTTAAAAATACTAGTATCAAACTAAACAAAAAACAAAAAAATAAATACAACAAAATCATGGCAATCTTCTAAACAGGAAAGATTTAACAAACTACTTCTAAACCAGCAAGATTTTACACAATTATCACCTCCCAGTTATTTAAAATCCATACAAATTCATCTTCCATCTACATATTTAGGAACTATCACCTCCTGTAAAATCTAATCCACATAAATTCAATCTTCCAGATTTTACATAATTATTCAATCCAGATTTTGCATAAATCTTCCCACCATGATTTTACAAAATTATCATTCCCATTATTCTCATAAAAAAATCATCTGCCATCCAACTCCACAATCATACAAAACCCAAACCCAGAATCAACAATAAACAAAACTCATACAAAGAACAAGAATAAAAAGCCCCAAACTCTTCAATCCGGCGATGATGAACTCAGTCAAACACAGTTGATAAGCATGTTTGTACTCAGGCAGACAGTTTGTATGAGCTATAAATTTGCTTTGGGTAAACAATTCCAGGGGCTGCATAGTAACAAAAATCTAGAAAAGGCTCCATGAACATTCTTCGTCTTCATATTAAAATACCGAGGATAAACTGTATAGGAAAGGTCATTGAAGGATTAGCCTGATCATTTCATCTGCCCAAAGAAAAAAAATTCATTGAGAATGTAATAGTTTTACCTAATTTTTCCTATTTAGATGAAAAGTTAAAATTATAGATAACGTCACACAATAGATTTCTCATTAGAGATGTTTCGATGGAGAATTATATATTGTTGCCGCATTTAGACTATTGATTATGAGGATTATTAATGGAAAGATTTATAATTTATCTACATCAAAAGCAAAAAATTGAAGTCATATCAAAATGTTGTGGTACCCATTTGGAGTTGTAGAAGGCTGTGCTGTATATTAAGAAAATATTTTTAATAATCTTATTTTTCAAGAAAAAAATTAAAAGCATATATGAAAGAGAAATGCTATAATTGCATAATTGCATAGTCAAGCGTTAGGTTGACTCATGCTTAAGGCCTAACTCTAGAACACAAAAGCCCACATTGAAATAAGCAAACAAAAGGCAATTGCAAAGAGCCCATAAAAAGAAAAAAAAAAAAAAAAATTAAAGGACAATAAAAAAGTGAAAAAGAATTGGAACTTGATCACTGAAAATGAAGAAGATGAAAGATGGCCCCTTAATATCCACTTTAACATGAAAGTCATATATTCGAAAACATAAAGCCTATTGGGAAGGGGAGAAGTGCAAGTATAAATTAAACATCTTTACAGTGGAACATCCCAAAATAATAAACAAAAGGCTGGTTTAGTACATAAACAGAGGCATGACACAATGACCATTTTCATTCCAAAAACCATTAATGTATACATCATCAATAAGGAAAATCTTCTGAAGTGTCATCAAAACAGCTTGTGGAGGGTATTTTCTCAGTTTCTGATAAAATGTTTCTCTCTAGAATTTCATGTAGCAAAACAAACGACGAGAAAAACGATTTACAACAGATATAGCAAGCAATGATCGAGAGGAAGTGATAGAGCAAAAAAAGTGAAAAGGGTGATGTTCAAAACTAAGACCCAAAAAAGAAGAAAAAAAATATGCAGCTCAATGGGTATACTCCGTGGACTACCTTCTCATCTTTATGCCGTGGCAGTTACCTGGTGGGGTGCTCGGATGGTTGACCACTCAAAGAAGGATTTGACGAATTAGAAGGGAGGGAGCCATTGTCTTGGGAGGGTGTGCCACCCACTTCAGCTCTGCATCAGAAGGCTCAACTACATGCACTGCTCGTCACTCATGCCAAGAGCGATTTGATTAGGCTCGGATGGATGAGCTGCTATGACAAAGGATAGGCAGTAGTGTTGCTGCTGGAGATATATTGTCAATGGTGATGGATTTTATGGGCTCGACATTTTGATACAATGAAATATACGAAAAATGCCTTGAAACATCTGAAATGGTTTAGTAGATAAGAATGTTCAGAACTCGCCAAATAAAAGGTCCACTACCTGACAGAGACGGAAGGTAATAAGCAGAAGCTGCTATTCTATCTAAGCCTTACATTTTCCGCATCAAAAACTCCCACGGTACCACAAAAAAACCGGCATACACCAGTAAACCATCACATGATATATTGCACTTGAAATGGGAGCAGGGAGTGTATCTTTGGAGACCCCTACATGTTATAAAATCATAGCATAAGGACCATTATAAGAGATATTGAAAAGTAACATGTTAAAATAAATTATATGGATACATGTACAAATGAGCCAGTATTCTGAAATTTCGCATGATGGTTTAACCTCTTACATTAGAGATCTTATTAATTCTCCATTTACTTGGAAATGTAAAAGACATAGTAAGATTTGCGGCATGTATGCAACACCATTAACAAATCTTCCAACAAAGAGCTCAGAGCGATAAGCACCACACTAGGCCAAGGCTTCTAACAATATATCCATAAAAAGATTGAATAAGTAAATTACTCTAGCGAGTCAAGGTGGAATGAGTTAATGATGATAATAAGCTACATAACTAAATCTTTTTTGGCAACAACATATGTGATTTGGGGTTCATTGACTTAATTATCGTGACGCTACGTTTCCACACTATTAGAAATGAGAGAGATAACTGAAGAAAAACTGCAACAGATGACATGGAAGCAAAACTACTGAACGTGAACATTCAAGCTTGCTGTCATAAATCAAAATTTGGCTATCATGTACCACCAACAGATGTGTTGATCATTATGAAACTGGACTTTAGTTTCTCCAAACAAAGGAGATTGACAGCCAGCTGGTATGAACCTTGATTTTCCTTCTTCCATTTATCAGTACTCCACATACACAGCTGCATCAAATTAATTGAATATAATAAAATTATTAAGTAACGGAAATAAAAAACCCAGAGATAAACAAAAAGAGAAGCTTCAACTTGATTTTTGGGACCTGATTGAAAGTCAATAGCATTTAGAAGTGACTAGGGGAAGCCATGTTTGAAACTTGTAGTAAAAGAGCATTTGTGGAAAGATCTTCGCATTAGAGATCCCCTCAAAACAATTTGACTATGTTTACATAGTAATTCAACTATGTTTTGAAATTTACCAAAGAAAAGGCTCATCGTCTGCAGACATTGATTACCCTAAAAATGGCTTAAGATCAATCTCAAATTGCGACTTCAATTTTAAAGAAAGTAGTTTTTTGTTGGGGGCGTTTTTGCAAGAAAAGCTGACGTGTCAGGATATAGTTAGAATAAGAGAAGTTCGGGGGCAGTGTTTATAAAATTTAGAAAATTTCTTTATAGTGGGCTGTTTCGCCCAAGTGCAGGGGGTAGAGAAAATCGAGAAGAAGAGAGAGAGAGAAAAAGAGGAGAGAAGAAAAAGCAGAGGAGAAGGAAGAATGGGTTTCAGCCGAGAGATAGTGAGAGAGGAAGAATGAGAGTGAAGTGGAATTAAAATAGTGAATGAGGAAATTTGAAGCAAGATCGCTCTATCTGTGTTCGGGGTGTGAAGAAAGGAGTTCTTGAGAGTTGAGATTTTGTTTGTAGTCTCGGCGAGCTGAAAAGGTGAGTGGATCAAACCAAATCTTCGCCCAAAGTTAAATCCAATGTTGCATGTAAGTTTTGATTTTGATTTTAATGTTTTGATGAAATTTTGAGTTAATTGTGAGTTGTTTAAAATTGCCTTTTCTTTATGCTTCGGTTGAACTTTAGAAGTGTTGCATTTTGGTTTTGAGTGAGATGCTTTGCATGTTCGGCTGAGTTGAGTTTGGGAAAGTTTTGTTATCTCAAAAATGCTTGGAAATGTTGTTTATTCAGGTGGAGATGAATTGACATTTGATAAATAGTTAATAGAAGAAATTGTGTAGTTGGAGAAGGAAATTTGACATGTGCAGTAAATTGAGTTCTTGAATGGTGCATTTTAAGTATTCGTGGCCCCTTTCAATCCAGAGATACACATGTATGTAAAATGTAATTCATTACTCTTTTTAATTGATTTTCCAAAATGGTGTGATTTAAGTGTGTCTTTCATTTTGATTTCTTTTTATTTATCTGTCTTTGCCTTGCTGGAAACTTGGAAAAGAGTGGAATTTGCATGATTGAATGGAGGTTGTTCAGATTTTGGTAATGGGAAGTTGGGGGAGCTGGTTTGGTGATTGTTGATTAGATGTAATTAGTTAAGATGAAATATTATTTTATATATTTTAACTCACTTGTTTACCTATGTATAAAAAGTGCATTGGTGGTTTGTTCTTTAAAATGGGCTGCTGGATTATTGGGAGATAGTTTGCTAGTTAAAGAGTGAATGGAATATAGGATCTTGCATTAAAATTCATTATTTATTGGATGGAATGCATGTTTATACTCGTTTCTTTGAGGTCATTTTAAGTTCTTGAGTTTAAATTTCTAACAAATTAATGGGTCCATGATGTGCATGTGTGTGTGAATTGAGAGGATTAAAGGGACTTGAAGTGGGCTGGATTTTGTTTTGTGGCTGGGTTTTGGCTGCATGATGAAGGATGAATATAGGATTGGGGTGTTGAGAAGAAAAATGAAGCCCAGTTAGTTTGTTGGGTATTGGATTGTATTAAAATTGGGGCTGGCCTTTTAACAATAAGGCCCAAGTTGTTTGGTTGAGTAATTTAGATTATTATTTATTGGTGGGGTGGCCTTATTGACAAGGCCTAGATTACTTTGTTTTGGGTTTTGAGTTTTATTATGGTTCAAATGTGCTAAGTTTCTTACTCTTGACAAAAAAATTATAGCATCCAATTAAACATAAGCAAGAATAAATTTTATATAGTCAAGCACTAACCTGAGCATCAGCCCCTGAAGACCCCAGTGCGTTTGAAGTATACAACCATCAATTCCTAAAACAAGATGGCAACAATAAGACTTTCACTCTAATGGACTGAGATAAGAAGCTTAAATTTATTGATGGCATAGGTAATGATTTAGACAAACCAGAACAGTTTTACATTAACAATCTCAAAATTCATCGTAATCAACTATAAATTAACACTAGCAATAAATGGAGCAAAATTCAATCGACATATCCTTCGACCAGTTACATAAAACTAGCTTCAGAAATTAAGTAAAGAAAACGACAAATCAAGGACAAGCTTCACTCATCAACTCTAACATTGTATATCTCATGGTAGAATCCTCCTTCCCAATGGCAATAATATATTATCTTGAGGATGGATGCCAAATTGGTAGCTGTCTAGGTCGGACATAATCATTGTCATGACTTGGGACACAGTAAGCAATCTTATTCAATCATGTGGAATCTCAAAATATTGCAAAGTATTATCTCAAGCAAACACTGTTGAGGATGTATGAAATACAGAGTTCAATTTGGATAGCTGCAATAATTACTTTGAATGTCTCATGTTGAAAAAGAAACTTTCCACCAGAGGCGGACATAACGTAAGAATCATTTTTGGATAAAGCGATGCATGCATAGACCTCTTCAATCGGTTTACCATCATTTATGTCATTGGATAAGTGTTGACTAGGAGGTTGCCACCAGTGGGGTGCTACAATGCAGTAGCCCGACGATTTTGCAACTGACATTAAAGTCAAAATATAAAAACAAAAGAAATTTGCAAATGGATAATAAACTTCCCCGAGGGATTCCTCTCACTACGTTGCCATTTACAAAGCTTGTGAACAGCGCAGGCGATAAGGGCTAAAGCTAGACCAGAGTGTGTGTAGATCAACCGAACAACCTGAATTTTTCTTTTCTTATTTACTTAAATCCAACAATAAACATCTGCAACAAAGTAGAAAAAACATGTAATTTTCCCAGGCCTAAATGCAGGGGAAATTACCAATGTTTTCACATATTTGCTTAATGTTTGATTTGGCTATTTATACATTGATTGGTATTAAGCTTTGTGATGAACTTGACATTGTTTCTTCTTCTATGTCTTTTGTAAAAAGTCATTTAGTTTAAATTTATTTGTCAGTCCTTTCCTACTTAGTTGATCTATGAAACGAGCATGTGTTAGAGTCATGAAAATGACTCTATTTTGGTGATAAAAAGACCCTATGTGCGATTAAAATGAAATTATTGAGGCAATAAAGAAATTATGAATTTATTCACAAAAAATCGTCCTAATGTTTTCTATGAATTAAATGTTTGGAATGATTTTGGAAATGGTATGAGTTGATATTGGGTTGTGGTTTATGGATTAGGGTGATTTTGTCTCATTATGCTGTTTAGGGGTAAATGTCATATTTCAGAGGGTTGATTTTGTCATTTTTTAATCATGCAGGGGACCCAAGCAAAATTTTCCACTTTTTGTATAAAAAGGAAGTGAAAGGGTCGCATTCCACCAGCCGCTCACCCCAAACTATAGTTCCACCGTCGACAACTCTTCCTCTCCCATTTTCGATGATGTTTCATCTCCCCCAAGTGTTGGTTCACCTTCACCATCACCCCCACCGTGTTTCCTCCATTTTCCGACGTCGTTATGCACTCCCCTGCCACGCCTCTTCACATTCCGACGATGTTTGAGCTCCTTTGGCGGCGATTCACCTTCCCGGGCTTTGATCTCCACATTTTCAACCTTCCAACACCCTCACACGCCCTTTTCCATGAAAGACCGCCACAAATCACCGTCTTCCACCGTCGTGCCTCTTCACCTTCCAACTGCGATTTCGCTCACTTTTCAATGACCTTTCATCTCCCCAGGATCTGATATGAACTCTTCATCACCTAAGCTTTCTATCGGTACCTTAGATCCCATTTCTACCACCATTTGCCGGAACACCCATGGGAAAACTAATGTATTCCAGCGAGTTGTGACTGTTTGTATTCCGAGCTATCTATTAGTTGTTTTCGCATCATCTCGTTGT